TCGCATGAGTCTTATGATCATTAAGCGCGGCGTTCCGGAAGCCTTCAGGGGCATAGAATCCGAAGGGATTACTAAGGCTAAAGATTTCCTTGCCGAAATTGAGAAGCGTTTTGCGAAAAACGATAAGGTAGAAACAAGCACGCTTTTAGCTCGCTTGATTTCAATGAAGTATAAGGGCAAAGGAAATATCAGGGAGTACATTATGGAAATGTCTCATATTGCTTCAAAGCTTAAGGCACTTAAACTCGATCTTTGTGACGAGTTATTAGTGCATCTGGTTTTGTTGTCTCTTCCTGCACAGTTTAACCAATTTAAGGTCAGTTATAACTGTCAAAAGGAGAAATGGACTCTAAATGAGCTCATTTCATACTGTGTGCAAGAAGAAGACAGGTTGAAGCAAGATAAGACAGAAAGTGCTCATTTGGCCTATGCCTCTAAGGATAAGGGCAAGAAAAGGAAGAATGATAAGGAAGCTGCTAAGGGTCCAGTTGAGAAGAAACAACATAAGGATAATCAGGGTTGTTTCTTCTGTAAGAAGCCTGGACATGTAAAGAAGGACTGTACAAAATATCACGCCTGGCGTGATAATAAGGGTACGTTCCTTGCTTTGGTCTGTTCTGAGGTTAATTTAGCTTCAGTACCTAGAAACACTTGGTGGTTAGACTCTGGTGCTACTACTCACATAAGTGTTTCTATGCAGGGTTGCCTGAGCTACCGAAAGCCAAGTGATGTTGAAAGACACATCTTTGTGGGCGACGGACAATCGGTAGATGTGGAAGCAATTGGGCACTTTAGGTTGTTGTTAGGAACTGGTTATTATTTGGATTTAAAAGATACTTTTGTAGTACCGTCTTTTAGACGGAATTTGGTTTCTGTTTCTGTATTGGACAAATCAGGTTATTCTTGTTCATTTGGAAACAGTCAATTCAGTTTATCTTTTAATTCAAATGTTGTGGGAACCGGTTACTTGAGTATTTATGACAACCTATATTTGCTTGATACAATTGCTTCTTACAATGAATCCTTGCATGTGGAATCACGTGGTACTAAGCGTAAATTAAATAAGGAAAATTCGGCGACATTATGGCATAAGCGCTTAGGTCATATCTCAAAAGGTAGAATTGAGCGTCTTGTGTCTGATGGCATTTTGGATTCCCTTGATTTTTCGGACTTCGACGTATGTGTTGAATGTATCAAGGGAAAACAGACCAAAGTGAAAAGATTAGGTGCCAACAGATCTTCGGATGTCTTAGAATTGATACATACGGATATTTGTGGGCCATTCCCTACGGAATCCTGGAATGGTCAACAATATTTTATATCATTCATAGACGATTACTCACGTTATGGGCACCTATATCTTATTCATGAAAAATCTGAGTCTCTGGACATGTTCAAAGCCTATAAAGCTGAAGTTGAGAATCAACTCAACAGAAGAATTAAAACCGTCAGATCTGATCGTGGTGGTGAGTACTACGGTAGATATGATGGTTCAGGTGAACAACGTCCAGGACCATTTGCTAGATACCTAGAGGAATACGGTATCGTCCCACAGTACACCATGCCGGGTTCACCTAGCATGAATGGTGTAGCTGAAAGACGAAACAGGACTCTTAAGGATATGGTAAGAAGTATGATTGCTCATTCTTCTTTACCAGAGTCACTCTGGGGAGAAGCACTTAAGACAGCAGCTTACATTCTGAATAGAGTACCAAGTAAAGCAGTTGCTAAAACACCTTATGAGCTTTGGACTGGTCGAAAGCCCAGTTTAAAGCATTTACATATTTGGGGATGTCCAGCTGAGGCAAGGCCTTATAGGCCAAATGAAAAGAAATTGGACTCCAAAACAGTTAGCAGCTACTTTATTGGATACTCTGAACGCTCTAGGGGCTTTAAGTTTTATGATCCCACTATAAGGAACATTTTTGAGACGGGAACAGCAACATTCTTTGAGGATGTTGAGTTTGGGGGGAGAAATAAGGTTAGAGACATTAGTTTTGAGGAGGAATTGGCTTCAGATCCAATCCATACAGTTACTTTTGACAATATTCAGGTTCCTATACCTGTTGTTGCTCAAGAAGTAAATCCGGAACCTCAAGATGATAATGTTGAACAACTCCCTGTTCCAGAAGAACAAACTCAACAACCTCAAGAACCAGTGCCATTAAGGAGATCCACGAGAGAAAGGAGAAATGCTATTCCGGATGATTATATTGTATTTCTCCAAGAACATGAGGAAAGTAGTGGAATGTTAGAAGATGATCCAATCAACTTCTCTCAGGCCATGAAAAGTTCTAACTCTCAACAGTGGATTGATGCCATGAATGAAGAGTACAAGTCTATGCAAGACAATAAGGTTTGGGAACTTGTCCCATTACCAGAAGGTGCAAAACCAATTGGTTGTAAATGGATTTTTAAAACCAAGCGGGATGCAAACGGTAATGTGGAGAGGTATAAGGCACGTCTTGTGGCTAAAGGCTATACTCAAAAGGAAGGCATTGATTATACAGAGACTTTCTCTCCGGTTTCATCGAAAGACTCTTTCAGAATAATCATGGCACTTGTTGCTCATTATGATCTTGAGTTACATCAGATGGATGTTAAGACTGCATTTCTCAATGGAGACATTGATGAGATGATCTATATGGTGCAACCAGAAAACTTTGTGTCGGGAGACCCAAAGAATATGGTCTGCAAATTAAGGAAATCCATCTATGGACTCAAGCAAGCTCCTCGTCAATGGTATCATAAGTTTCAACAAATAGTTATCTCGTTCGGTTTTGAGATGAACATTGTTGATGACTGTGTATATCACAAGTTCAGTGGGAGTAAGTATATTTTTCTGGTTCTGTATGTGGATGACATCTTGCTTGCCACTAATGATATAGGCATGTTGCACGAAACCAAGAGATTTCTATCAAAGAATTTTGAGATGAAAGATCTTGGGGACGCCTCTTTTATATTAGGGATCCAGATACATCGAGATCGCTCTCGGGGTATTCTTGGATTATCACAAAAGAGCTATATCGATAAGGTACTTAAAAGGTTTGGCATGCAAGATTGCAGACCAGGTGACACCCCTGTTGCTAAAGGAGACAAGTTTAGTCTCAATCAGTGCCCTAAAGGTAACCTTGAAATTCAGGAAATGCAGAAGATTCCTTATGCTTCGGCTGTAGGAAGTCTAATGTATGCTCAGGTATGTACGCGTCCGGATATTGCGTACATTGTTGGGATGTTAGGCAGATACTTAAGCAACCCTGGTATGGATCATTGGATAGCAGTCAAAAGGGTTATGAGGTATCTTCAGAAAACAAAAGATTACATGCTCACATACAGAAAATCAGAGAAATTAGAGGTCATTGGGTATTCGGACTCTGATTTTGCTGGATGCCAAGATAGCAGGAAGTCTACATCAGGCTACATTTATATGTTAGCAGGAGGAGCTATATCATGGAAAAGTGTTAAACAAACACTAGTAGCTTCCTCCACTATGGCAGCAGAATTTGTAGCTTGCTATGAGGCATCCAATCAGGGAATATGGCTGCGAAATTTTGTCACGGGACTGCGCATTTTGGAAAATGTTGAAAGACCACTAAGGCTATATTGTGACAATAAATCTGCAGTAATGTATTCCAATAACAACAGGAGCTCAACTAAATCAAAACATATTGACATTAAGTTCCTGGTTGTGAAAGAAAGGGTACAGAGTGGACAGATATCCATAGAGCACATTGGGACAAACTCCATGATAGCTGATCCTCTTACTAAGGGATTGCCACCTAAGGTCTTTCATGAGCATACTGCTCATATGGGTGTGGTATTATTTGAGGATATTATGTTTTAGTGGGAGTTTGTATTTGTGGTGCTTTATGTTTGGTTGTATTGTCTGATCAGAATAAAGTATTCAGTTAAGACACTCTGTTACATTATGTTTGGTTTTGACCTCACTAAGGAGGACCAGTTGAAAATAGACATGTACTGATCACATTGCATGTAATTTTCATGCTGCACATCCATGATTGATCTATGTCGTTTGATTGTATTGGTATATGTGACCAGTTAAAAATAGACATGTACTGATCACATTGCATGTAATTTTGATGCTGCACATCCATGATTGATCTATGTCGTTTGATTGTATTGGTATATGTGACCATTGATGGGTTGAGTCACGATAAATGTGATGAAGACCGCTTTGATCCTATATTGATATAGTCAATGGACGAGATTGTTCAGAAATACCTTTTCAGTGATAGCAATTTTTGAGCTCATAAGGTTATACACAATTTAAGGAATCATATGGTGCCCAAGTGGGAGATTGTTGGATTTAATCTAATAAATCTATTTGTGGGCACATATGATTAAATAAATGTGTATTGCTATCTTCAGGATAACCCACTAAAGTCATGAGGTTATATGTGCAGATACCAGGTTGTAATTGTGATTTATTGAGGGGCTAAATTACAAAAGTACAACATCTATAAATAAGGGGTTATGGTCCCTAACCTAGGGTTACATTCTCTAATGATCTCTTCACCCCATCTAGAGAGAGAAATTCGGATTTAGAGAAACCCTAAGGTTAGAAGATCATTGAAACCCAAATCAAGATTTCTTCTATGGATTCAGGTATAAGCTTCCGCTCTTTTTAGATTCTTGTTAATCTCTTTGAATTAATCATGGCTATATGGTTTTAGATCTCAAGTTTTGATTTAGATTTAACAAGTAGTTCCTTTGTTGCAGACGGACCCCTTTAGATTATATTTGTCGATCGTGTTACCCTTGGTATACTTTGGAAGACATCGACTTTCTCTAAAAATTTTTGAGACCATCTGAGGTTAGAAGAGTTGAAAATGTTAAACTCAGCGGTCTATCTGCAACAATGAAACTAAAAGGTAGTAAGATCAAAACTGCGGCACGACAGGGGTGTATGCGCAATCTCCGCAGTTTTCTTTCATCCAAACCAGTTGGGAGAACACACAGATGCATGACATGATTCTTAATTTTCAAGACTACCAACCAAACCATCTCATATTATTAACAACATATCATATCAACAAGTCCCAATTCTGGAAAGCCAATATATATCTATACAAATTGAGACGCATGACGCGCAACTACGTATCCAAATGCTTCTCAATAGTTGCACTCAGGGCACTCTTCTTTACAGCACCAGTTATGCTCTCCTTCTGCTCCCCGTTCTTGAACAGCAGCACGGTTGGTATGCTCCTGACCCCGTACTGACTCGCCATACTCAGCGAGTCATCGGTGTTGATCTTGAAGCAGGCAACCCTACCCGCATACTCCTTCGCCAGCTCGTCCATCACTGGCGCCATCATCTTGCATGGACCGCACGATGGTGCCCAGAACTCGACCAAAGCCACGGGAAGTTTGCTGTCAAGGATCAGCTCGCCCCAACTGTTGTCGGTCACCTCCAACACTGTTGAAGCAAGTTTTGTAATTTTGAGCTTGTTTAATCTTTGACACTTAAAACTCGTAAGTTTGGGATGTTTGGAAAAGACCCACATGTTTTGAATTTTTTCTGCTAATCCTCCCACTATGTTCGATCATAAACTTGTAAAAAGGCCAAAATATCCATATCAAATAAACACACTAAATATTAAAATAAAATTAAAGCATTTGTGAAAATCTCCTTCAAATTTATTAAAAGGGATATGAATTTTATTTTTGTCATTAGGACGGATGCAATACTCAGGAGCACAGTTTTAAGTGACATTTCTAAAGTTCCGGGTTACCTGAAAACTGGCGACTTGAGGGAGGTCTGTGAAATTTATAGCCATGTAATTAGATGCAATAAGAAACGAGTAGATGTTACCTTGATCGAATGTGTCGGTTGCGTTGCGGATGAGGTTGGTTCTCGGTTGAGCCGAGATGTTGCGGGGAGGGAAGGAGATGATTGAAGAGGAGAGTGTTGTTCCTCTCTTGTGTGCTTCTTTGTTCGTGAGGAGATTGAACTTTTTGTCCTTGAAGATGGAAGCTCTTGCGGTGAGTTGGAAGCTGCAGGCTTCTAATGCCATTGGGGGCCTTCTAGCTTACTGTTGTTGCAAAAAATGGTGAAGGGAAGATGGACGTTTGTGTGGCTTGAGGATGAACTCCTTGTGGATATGTCTTTGGATATCGTAAGGTGGCTGGGGTTTCGTTTGTCAATTGACGTGGGAAGCGGGCCAATTGGGTTAGTTGCGGATAGATCCCTCTATAGCTCTATTGTTGCGGTGATTTTTTTAAGGGAAAAATCTCTTTTAACCCAAAGTTTTACCAGAACTTATTTTAAAACCCACTCATTTTTTCAAACACCAATAGACCCACTGTATCTCATCTCATTTATTTTTAAACCCAACATGTATAATACACCCATTTTATGTAATGTATTTACCCAATAAATTAAAAATTCCTAAACTACCCCATCCCCAAATATAACTCATCCCCTCTCTCTCTCTTCCCTCTCTCTTCCGTTTTACTTTCTCAAAGAGTCCAGGAGAGATTAGGGTTTCGACGAAGACGGGACTGCGACGACGGACGGCGACTGCAGCGGTGAAGGGAGTTGGTTCGAGGATCACCGGCAGCGGCGAAGGGAGTTGGTTCGACGGTGAGCGGCGACGGACGGCGACCACGGGTCTGAACGCGGACATTTGGAGCGACGACGGACGGCGGCTGCACGGGTATGAAAGCGGGTAACACATGAATCTTCCCCTTTTCCTCTCTAATACTTGAAATTAAGCCCCTAGATCATTGATTTTCATCGCAAGTTCCTCATATCACTGTGTTTTTATTTTTCGAATGAGGTTGTAGAGAAGGCGACGGAGAGAGTTATGGCTTGGATTAATCGGTGTTGTCTGTAGCGAGAGATATTGGAGTTGGGAGAGATTGAAAGGTTTTCCTGCAAGTGTGATTAAGCTCTTTTTTTTAAATTAGTTTATGGAAATGGATGATTTCTTGACCTAATTTTGTTGATGTTTGGTATAATTTAGGTCATCGTGGGACTGTGGATTGTTTCGTACATTGGAAGTTCGTTTAGTATCTTCACTCTTATTTACATCGGTGAGTTCTAATAATTTATCCATTGTTTGGCTGACCTAATTAAAGTTCCAAAAGAAGAACACTTTATTTTGATCGAAATTAAGCCCCTTGTTGTAGTTTTGATCACATGCAACTTGCACGTATAAATTGTTGAAAGGGCCCGAAAGATAAGAATGTACTTATATCATAGTAATCTCTCGAACATCTAAGGTTTAACACCTATGATAGCTTGGTGTTGAAATCATTATTTATAAAAGGATTCCAACCTGCCTCTGGGATATTCATAATTATATTTTATTTTTTGAAATATTTGTCAATAGGTTGTCAAAGATGTCAAGCAGAAGTAAATCGAGGGATTCTTCCCAATCGACGTCTAAGGCTACTAAGTAAGTAAATTTTAATTTATATGAAATTATTGTTATGTTAAAAATTTCTTATGTTTTTACTTGTAAATGAAATTGAAATTTGAGGACTTGATTCTTCATGTTGTAAGCTCAAAGATGATATACAAAATTTTGGTATATCTGCCGGTTAATTTTGGTGCTGTATATTGGTTAGGCTTCTCTATGATCATGAAAGAGATTTAGGTTCCCTGCTCGCTCCAAAGTTATGCCTTTTCATAAAATAAGAATATTTAATGGATATCTTTGATATGAAGCTTATTTTACGGAAAAAGAAAGAACAAATTGTGATCAGGTAACTTAATTCCGAGAACATGGTGTTGGAATAACAGAGGAAGAAGAAACTTGTTTTTACACACTGTTAACAATGGAAGAAGCTAAGGATTTTGATCTTCTTGATTGAAACTGATTACAACTACAAGATTAAATAGAATTAGAATAAAAACTGACTCCACTAACCACGTCTAACATCATGCCTAAGAACGTGGATCATTTCTTCAATTTAAACAAACAGAATACTAACATTCTCCTAAACAGAATACTAACTTTCTCCTAAATAATAGCCAACTGATTTGACTTGATCAAGAGAGGCTTGAATCACATTTCAACACCTCCCCTTGATTCAAACACTCGCATACCTATCTTCTCCATGAAGAACTGATGTTTTGCTTGAGTTAAAGCCTTAGTGAATAAATCTGCATTTTGATCATTTGTGCCACAGAATTTCAACACAATCTTCTCATCGGACACCAGCTTCCTTATGAAATGATGTTGCACTTCAATGTGCTTTGTTCTAGCATGAAACGCAGGATTCTTAGTCATAGCAATAGTTGATTTGTTGTCACACCATAGCTCTGTTGCTTCCTCTTGTGCACTTCCCAAGTCAACCAACAGCTTCCTTAGCCACAATGCTTGTCTTCCAGCTGATCCTGCTGCTACATACTCAGCTTCAGATGAGGACAATGCAACAGTTTCTTGCTTCTTTGAACTCCAAGTAATAGCACCAGAACCAAGGCTAAACACAGACCCTGAGGTGCTTTTCCTATCATCAATACAGCCTGCCCAATCACTGTCTGTATGACCAATTATTTTGAAGTTATCTGAATTCTCATACCAGATTCCATACTCAGTTGTTCCAGCTACATACCTCAATATTCTCTTTGCAGCGCCAAGATGCTGCTTTGTTGGATGATGCATATATCTTGACACTACACTCACACAATAGGCAATGTCAGGCCTTGTGTGTGTAAGGTAGTTCAAGCCTCCTACCATGCTCCTAAACAGCTTCTCATCTGCCTTTTCTGTGCCATCATTCCTCTGCAGCTTCTCATTGGTGTTCATAGGAGTGAGAGCAGCATCACAATTTTCCATCTTAAACTTCTTCAATAAGTCCTGTGCATACTTCCTTTGGCTCACAAAGATTCCACTCTTTCTCTGCTTCACTTCTAACCCAAGAAAGTACTGCAACAGACCCAAGTCTGTCATCTCAAACTCATTCATCATGGAGACTTTAAACTCATCTAGCAGCTTCTGTGATGAACTAAAATAAATTATGTCATCAACATAAAGACAGACAACTATGAACTCTGAGGTACCTTGTTTCTTGGTGTATAGTGTGGGCTCATTCTCACTTCTTTCAAAGCTTTCCTTAGAGAAGAAAGCATCTATTCTGCTGTACCAAGCTCTGGGGGCTTGTTTTAACCCATACAGAGCTTTGTGCAGCTTGTACACCTTGTTCACTTCTTCTTTCTTGACAAAGCCTTGAGGTTGTTCAACAAACACCTCCTCTTGCAGTTCACCATTCAAGAAGACTGATTTTACATCAAACTGATACACAGGCAGTTTCAGTTGTGCAGCCAAAGCTAAGACAACCCTCACTGTTTCAAATCTAGCTACAGGAGAGAAAGTCTCTTCAAAATCAGTTCCTTCAATCTGAGCATACCCCTTTGCCACAAGCCTTGCTTTGTGCTTCTGTATGCTTCCATCAGTGTTATATTTTGTTCTGAAAACCCACTTCAAACCAATCACATTCTTCCCTGTAGGAAGATCCACTAATTCCCACGTCTTATTCTTCTGAATAGACTTGATTTCTTCCTCCATTGCAGTTTGCCACACTGCTTCAGTCACAGCTTCCTGAAAACTTGTTGGTTCTGTAGCAATTAAGGCAAAATCACATCTTTCATAGATTTCTTCCAATGATCTAAACCCTCTTGGTGGAGATCCACTTGATGAACTCGAGGTTGAGGAGCTTTGATTGCTTGAGGGAGTTGATGGAGAGCTTGGTGTAGACTGCCCTTGATCTGACATTGGTGGTGAACCATGAGCTTGTTCTGTCATTTGTGGTAGTTCATCTGAGCTGTCAAAGGTAAAAATTTTCTTATTTTCTCCATTATTTTCTTCCTTCTTCCAGTTCCATTCTGCATCCTCATTGAACACCACATTTCTGCTTATGATCACCTTGCAACTTAGAGGATCATACAGCCTATATGCTTTAGATTGAGTTGCATAGCCAATAAATACACACTTCACAGACTTCTCATCAAGCTTGGCTCTCAAATTAACTAAAGCATATACTATACAACCAAAAATTCTCAGATGACTTACTTGTGGCTTCTTTCCTCTCCAAGCCTCATAAGGAGTCTGATTCATGACAGCCTTTGTTGGTGAAATGTTGAGGATGTAGACTGCAGTTGCTACAGCTTCACTCCATAGCTCATTTGGCAGACCTTTTGCCTTCAACATGCTTCTAGCCATTTCAACCACAGTTCTATTCTTTCTCTCTGCCACACCATTCTGCTCTGGAGTGTATGGTGCTGTCAATTCCCTTCTTATACCCTGATCTTCACAGAATTCAGTGAACTCCTTTGACATGATCTCTCCACCACGATCTGTTCTTAAGGCTTTCACAAGTTTGCCACTTTGCTTCTCCACCAAAGCCTTGAATTTTTTGAAGTTCTCAAATGACTCAGACTTTGCCTTCTGAAAGTACACCCAGCTCATTCTGCTGTAGTCATCTGTTATTAGGAAGAAATACTTGCTTCCTCCTAGAGATTCAGTCTGCATTGGTCCGCACAGATCAGCATGAAGCAGCTCAAGGCAGTCACTTGCTCTCCAGGCTTTTCCACTTGGAAATGAACCCTTGGATTGCTTCCCATATATGCACCCTTCACATAGCTCGAGTTCACCAATCTTTGGTAAACCATTTACCATTCCTTTGGTACACAACAACTTCAGACCCTGCACATTCAAGTGTCCATAGCGCAGATGCCATAACTTAGCATCATCATCTCCTTTTACTGTCAAAGCTTTGCTCACTTTCTTAAGCAAATTCAAAGGAAACATTCTGTTTCTTCCCATGAAGATTTTAACCACAACTTCATTGGTTTTCTTATCTCTGACCACACATGACTCATCATCAAATAACACAGAGAAGCCACAGCATATTAATTGTCCAACACTTAGCAAATTATAGGCTAACAGTGGAACATACTGCACATTATGTAAAAGTTTAGTGTTACCTTGTTCAGTTTTGATTGCAACTGTGCCAATTCCTTCAACTGTCAACTGCTTGTCATCACCGAGTCTAACTTTACTTTTTTTAGACTCATCAAGCTCTTTGAACATGGACTTCATGCTTGGCATGTGATTGGAACAACCACTGTCAATGTACCACACACCACACTCATTATCTCGAGACCCACTTTGTGTCATGAACAACCTCTCCTCTTGCTCCACAAAGTTGGATTTCTGGTCATTCTTCTGCTCTCCTTGATCTCTTTCTTTCTTCCAGCAACTTGCCTCCTTGTGGCCAGTTTTCTTGCAATAATAGCACTTGATTGCACTCTTGTATGACTGAGATTGATGATCTCTGTGATCATTTGACTGGCCTCCCCTGCCACGGCCTCTTCCTCTGAATCCACTCCTTCCTCTTCCTCTTCCGCTGAATTGCCCTGACTTTTCCTTGTTTGAGGATTCACCTTTCACTTGGAATGCCTTCTCTTCCTTCTTCTCACTGTTTCTGTTGAGCCTCTCCTCATGAGCTTGCAATGATCCCATGAGTTCATCAAAGGTGTAATCTGCCATGTCCTTTGATTCCTCTATAGCCGCCACAACATGATCATATTTGCTTGTGAGACTTCTTAGGACTTTTCCAACCACATGTTCATTGGTCAATGTTTCTCCATATGACCTCATTTGTTGTACCACAGTGGATACACGTGACAAGTACTCTTGGACAGGTTCTTTGTCCTTCATAAAAGCTGTTTCAAACTCTCTCCTTAGTGATTGCAGCCGCACTGTAATCACCTTCTTGTCACCTAGATACTCTTGCTTTAGAGTATCCCACGCCATCTTGGATGTGGTTGATGAGGCAATTCTTGGGAAGATTTCATCATCCAAGGCCTGTTGAATCATAAACAACGCCTTGGAATCTTTCTTTCTCTTCTCTCTCAATCTTCAAATTCATCTTCAACCAAACCCCACAGTTCTTGAGACTTGAACAATGTTTTCATTTTCAAGCTCCAAAACTGATAGTTTATGCCTTTGAAGATAGGCAATTGAGGAGTGGCGTTTCCTGATCCGTTGTTCTGCATTATAAACAACTTTTTTTTTTCACTCAACGATTCCCTGGATATGAACCTGGAATTTAATTGTAAGCTCTGATACCAAAATTTGTTGGAATAACAGAGGAAGAAGAAACTTGTTTTTACACACTGTTAACAATGGAAGAAGCTAAGGATTTTGATCTTCTTGATTGAAACTGATTACAACTACAAGATTAAATAGAATTAGAATAAAAACTGACTCCACTAACCACGTCTAACATCATGCCTAAGAACGTGGATCATTTCTTCAATTTAAACAAACAGAATACTAACATTCTCCTAAACAGAATACTAACTTTCTCCTAAATAATAGCCAACTGATTTGACTTGATCAAGAGAGGCTTGAATCACATTTTAACACATGGCAAGGGTGTAAGACAGGATGGGTTAAAAGTTAACTTGAGTCCAACATATCTAGTTTTAAAAATTATAGTGTTTTTTATATGTTGAATAGTGGATATCCTCCACATTTTCTCTCTACCTCACACCCTCACTCACCCCATAAAGAAAATAGTTCTCTGAGCTTGTTGGGAGTTAACTTGACACTGTCCCCAAATCAACTTCCTTATCATCACATTGCAAGTTGCTCTCTTTTTTTGTCTATCAAATTTGTTGCATGCATCTATGTCCACATCTGACGTAGGGCGTGCTATCAAAATAAACAATATTAGTTTAACTGAAAATAAATGAGTTATGAAAAATCAGGCCTGAACGGGGTGCAGTCGTGATACACTGCCCTAGAAGATAGAGGACCCGCCTGTCGCCCTGGCGTAGTTGATCCTTCCCCCTAGCGGTAAAAGCCCCCCGGAAACGGCCGGCCTCTCTACTCGGGCGCGAGTAGCAGAGCTTCTGCTCAGATGAAGATGATTGCCCAAAAATAATCCTCAAAATATGTAGCCGAAAATCTTTGAGTACTAAGAGTAGCAGAAGGAGGAAGAGGGAGCTATGAAATTCTTTGTGAATTTCTGTGTGTTTTCCCGAATGAACTCTGCCTCCTTATATAGCCTCATGAACCAGTAACCGATGCTGAATCTCCTCGTCCGTTGGGCGTAAATCACGCTGCCGTTACATAATAAATGCTGCCGTTACATAATAAATGCTGCCGTTACAAAAAAATAAAAGCTGGAGAAGCAAAACCCGAGTGCGGTGCGGCGTGGCGCGCGCGTCGTGTCGTGGCGAGGGCGCGCGCGTGTGTGGAGAAAGAGCACTGCGTGCGCGCGCGCGTGTGTGGAGAAAGAGCTCAAACACTAGTAGGCCCAAAACATTACTCAAAGCCCATTAGGAAGTGAACCATTATAAACCACTTGAACTTCTCTTCAACTTCCAATGTGGGACTATTCACAATTGCCTTTTCCTTAAGAAAATATGTACAGGTGGTCTTGGGCACAAATAGACACACGTATCGTGTCTGCACATATTCATGTCAGCAGCAGTCCTACTTATCGTTTTTTATGTAAAGATCATAAAATAGTACAAACACAGACAAAATTGATCCTAAGAGATTTTTAGCATTTGTTTCGAGGTGAATTATGTCTCTATGTGTCTCTGGATTTATGCGGCAATTCCAACATGCTAGGACTTATGACAGAACAAAACGCTTATGACTTACTTTAGAGCTTAAAGGGAACTATGTGCAATATACTTCTTAGTGCGTAAATTTTATGAATGCTGGACTTGTAGTTACAAAATAGCGCCTATAAATGCATATACTATTCTTTGGTTTCTCTGTGTAGTTCTCATGGGAGCCCAAGATTTGTATGCATAATAAGGTGCATACCTCCATTTCTTTCTGCCGAGGTAAAATCCTATTCTATTGACCTGCGAACCTCCACAAGTAGGTCGGTTGAAACTTAAATTTGGCATAGCTTTAATTGGAAATGAATTCAGGGTAGGTGCTCTGCTTGAAGTTTACTAGTTATCTATATAATGGATTAAAGGTCCTGCGTTTATTCGGAAGAAGTCAATGGTGCAGTAGACTGGCTAGTGTCATGGGAAGTTTAAGGATAACTAGTATGAACCTGCATCATCATTTGATCTCGTGCTCCTTGGACGAGGAGGGTAGAGTTTATGAGAATGATGTAATTTGTCATTATCAACTCACATGTAACTGCTAAAAGGTTTGCATTTTTTCCCTGGAACTTTATCCAGGAATAAAAGTTCCTTGGTGATGTATAATAATGTCTAGTGAAAGGCTGCATTCAACAATGAGCTTTACCCCGGGGCTAACTCATCTGAGAAAGGCTTGAAGACATCACTTTGCAGAGTAGCAGATTGTGATCAAATTATGTGCTTGATATTATTGCCTTTGTATTCTTCCTCCTTACCTCAAATTGCACATAAAAGTTATATCCTGCTGATCTTTTATGTGTTGTTTTCCCATTACTGTACTATTATATTATTATTATATGATGATATGACGACGTCATTGTATTATGCCCACTCTTCTCTCTACTTTATAGGGCCATCCGGGTTTTACCTAAGTAGTAGATTAGTTCAAGCTCGAGCATCAGGAAGTACCCTCTTGTTTTATTGAGGGGCTGTGGTTTCAAGCATCTTCAGATTATAACATCACACTCGTTGTCTTACCCTACAATCATGGACAATCATTTTGGTTACATGTTATATTCTTGATGTGTTTAAGGCGTCGGACATCTTTTATCTTGACCTTGCAGATCCAGAAGAAATGAGAAGCCAAGGAGGGTTGGCTGACATGTTCCCTAGAGCTGCTACAGGAGCTAATAGGAGAATTTAGTTAACAAATATTTTGGAAGTGTAGTTTTGAATCCTGGAAAAGAGTTATATCTTCAATTTCGGTTGCTTTCTTGTTTGGATTTTAATGAGCTAGACAGAGGAATCCTGCATGATCTAGTTTTCGTATTTACGCTCACAGTTTGGATATTTTCTCGCATTTTAGTTTCATCTGTGTTTCATACATGTTCAGAATTTGAACGCAACAGTGTCTTTTAATGTTTGACCAAATTTTTTGCACTTTGATACTTTCTGATGCTTCTTCAGCATGTCACGATGTTGCTCTAGCCTTCAGGTAATAGAAGCTGATGTTGCTTTAGTTGTTGATTTCGGGACGTGTGCTTGACAAAATTAACAAATTCTATGGATGATTGATGCAGGGGAAATATTGAGGTCTCTATGGTGATTTCGGATTCTAACCCTTGCTATGAAGACGCACATATGAAGCTTGCTGCAGTACTTTTAATGTTGCTATTGAGTCCAACTGAGTGTTATGTTTGTTTCCTGGTCTTTTCTTTCTTCTGTCATGATCCTGTTCATGCCTGAACATTTGAAAGATGGGTGAATCCATTGCTTCTTGAAATGAGCTTGGATCACCTTCAACAAGAAAGGTAAAGAAGTCTTCTCCAAAATCCTTTTGAATTCTACCTCTTTTGCTTCTTCGAGGCTCAATGTCAAAAGGTTGGGAAGAACTAGATGATGGAAGATCAGAAGGAATAGATGTTCTAGAATTTTCTGAGATTTTGGATTTGAAAGGAAAGATATTTTCAAAGAAGACTGCATCTCTAGCTTCAATGATAGTGTTGTTGGATATGTCACTGATTTCAGAGTTAATGACTAGAAATCTATTAACATTGCTATCTAGTGCATATCCAATGAAAGCAGCATCAATAGTTTTGGAACCAATTTTCCTCTTCTTAGGTTCGGGAATAGCTACCTTAGCCAAGCAACCCCAAACTCGGAAGAAGTTTAGATTAGGAGATCTCCCCTTCCAATATTCATAAGGAGTTGTATTGGAATTTCTTTGGGGAATCCTATTGAGAATAAAACAAGCAGAGAGAAGAGCTTCACCCCAGAGATTTTCAGGTGCTCCTGAACTGAGTAACATACAGTTTACCATGTCCATTAGGGTTCTGTTTTTTCGTTCAGCTACCCCGTTAGACTGTGGTGTATAGGGAGCAGTAACCTCATGAATAATACCGTGTTCTTGGCAAAATTCAGTCATATAATTTGAGGTATACTCCCCCCCACGATCAGATCTTAGGATCTTGATCTTCCTGTCTAATTGGTTCTCAGACTCAGCTTTATAGACCTTAAACCTATCTAGGACTTCATCTTTAGTCCTGAGAAGATATGTGAAACAATATCTGGAGTGATCGTCTATAAAGGTCACAAAATATCTCCTACCCCCTCGGGTGAGAACTCGATTCGAGTCACACACATCACTATGAATTAATTCGAGGGGCTCAGAGTTTCTAGTTATAGACTTGAAGGGTTTTTTTGTGTGTTTCCCTTGAACACAAATCTCACACTTGGATGAGAGGTCAATAGATGATTTAGGAATAAGATTCAAATTGATCATTTTCTGTAAAGTTTGAAAATTGACATGTCCAAGTCGTCCATGCCAGACATCACAAGATTCAACAATTTGAATAACAGGAGACTTAGAATTTTCATTAGAACTGGAATTGATTACATTGAGTTTGAAAAGGCCATTACAGATAAAACCTTTTCCTATAAAATTATTACTCTTTGTAATCACAAATCTGTTGGATTCTTTTACAATCCTATAACCAGTTCTAAGAAGAAGAGATTCACTAATCAAATTTCGACGGAGAGAAGGAACAAGGTAGACGCCTTGCAGATGTAGGGCTTTCCCAGAAGTCATAGTGAGCTTTATACTTCCACTTCCTATTATTGGTTTAGTGGAGTCATCTGCTAAGCTTATGCTTCCTCCACGTGATTCCTGATAATTTGAAAACCAAGAGCGATCATTACAGACGTGTATATTTGCTCCGGAATCCAGATACCAATCAGTGGAAGAAGTTAGAGAATTTACAAGATGAGGTGATGGGGCTAACCTGAAGGAGGTTGGATTCTCTTCAATCATATTAACTTTATTTGATCCATTTCCTTTAGAGGCAGGTTTAGCCGGTTCCTTCTTCCGAAAGAAACAGTTGGAAGAAATGTGGTTGGTTCTACCACAGACAAAGCAGAACTTTCCATCAGACTTATGGCTGGAAGAATTGGAATTGGAAGAATTTGATTTGAAGGAAGATTTATTGAAAGATTGTTGGTTTTTCTTGAATTTCTTCCATTTGGGTTTGAAATTTCTAGATTTAGGCTTTTCCTCTACCAAGTTTACTTTAGCTTTTGATTCATTCTTGGTTTTGGAATTTAGCCTATGCTGGTCTTCAATACGAATGGCCTTGAGGGCCTCAGTTAAGGTTAGATCTCCTTGCTTGTGTCGGAGATCTCCAGCAAATCTAGACCAGGAAGGAGGGAGTTTATCAATCAAACAGGAAACTTTATAGTCATCAGTAAAAGTGTTTCCTTTTGATTGGAGATGACGGATGAAATCTAAAAATTCATGAATTTGTTCATTAATGGGCTTGTCATCTACCATCATGAACTTATTGAAGGACGAAGAGGTGAAACGCAGAATTCCGGCATCATCATAGCCATATTCTGCTTCAAGAGCTTGCCATAGGTCTTTTGCACTTTTGAACTCATAGTATATGTCATAAAGGTTGTCTGCAAGTGCACTAAGAATTCTATGACAACAATGATAATTAATATCTTCTGGTTTCATAGAGCTAGAAAGAGAGCTAGCACCTGAACCAGAAGTGGAAGGAACAGACTGTTCAGGATCAGGAGTCAAAGGTTGAGTACCACTAGTAGAAGACTCAGGAAAGTCAATGGCTGATAAGAGACCTAAGGTAGTGAGCCAGTATCTCATCTGATTAGCCCACCGTTTATAGTTGATACCGGTGAACTTCCTCATCTGATTAGCCCACCATTTATAGTTGATACCGGTGAACTTCTCAGGTTTGACACTTTTTGAATGATCAATTGCCATAAGTCCAATTTGAGTTTTACTAGTCTAGGTAGTTGAAATCTGAACAGGGTAAGAATTTTATTAATACTACTAGACCAGAAGCTTAATTAAACCTGCTCTTAACCAAAAACTCTAAAAGTGAAAAGATTAAAGTTTTACTCGGGTAGTTTGGCCAGGTAAGGATAGTACTAGAGGTTGATCAATGATCGATTAAGTACCTCGTTTCTTGCAGAGCGCTTTACGCAACCCTTAAACCTTTCCTTAGACACCAACTAATCCAAGAAAACTTGAACCGGTTCACTTAAAGATTTTTTTTTTTATGACAGATACTGAATATGAAAATTGACAGATATTTTATTTTTTTTTTTTTATGACAGATACTGAATATGAAAATTGACAGATATAAAATTCAGTACTATTGCAGTAAAATAATTTGTTAACTACTTAGATGCAAAAGGTTAACAAATTAAAACAGTTAAACAAATATGAAATTCGGGTGAACAGTAACAATTTTTTTTTAATATATATTTATTTTCAGATTTAAATTAACAGCAATAAATTATCTATCTTCTAGATTGCTATCAAAATAAACAATATTAGTTTAACTGAAAATAAATGAGTTATGAAAAATCAGGCCTGAACGGGGTGCAGTCGTGATACACTGCCCTAGAAGATAGAGGACCCGCCTGTCGCCCTGGCGTAGTTGATCCTCCCCCCTAGCGGTAAAAGCCCCCCGGAAACGGCCGGCCTCTCTACTCGGGCGCGAGTAGCAGAGCTTCTGCTCAGATGAAGATGATTGCCCAAAAATAATCCTCAAAATATGTAGCCGAAAATCTTTGAGTACTAAGAGTAGCAGAAGGAGGAAGAGGGAGCTATGAAATTCTTTGTGAATTTCTGTGTGTTTTCCCGAATGAACTCTGCCTCCTTATATAGCCTCATGAACCAGTAACCGATGCTGAATCTCCTCGTCCGTTGGGCGTAAATCACGCTGCCGTTACATAATAAATGCTGCCGTTACATAATAAATGCTGCCGTTACAAAAAAATAAAAGCTGGAGAAGCAAAACCCGAGTGCGGTGCGGCGTGGCGCGCGCGTCGTGGGCGTGGCGTGCGTGCGCGCGCGCGTGTGTGGAGAAAGAGCACAAACACTAGTAGGCCCAAAACATTACTCAAAGCCCATTAGGAAGTGAACCATTATAAACCACTTGAACTTCTCTTCAACTTCCAATGTGGGACTATTCACAATTGCCTTTTCCTTAAGAAAATGCTAACAGGGCGTATATTGCATTTGGTATGACATAGTTTTGTGCAATTCTAGAGGAAGGTCAGGTGTACAGGTTGATAGATGTACAGGTTGGTCTTGGGCACAAATAGACACACGTATCGTGTCTGCACATATTCATGTCAGCAGCAGTCTTACTTATCGTTTTTTATGTAAAGATCATAAAATAGTACAAACACAGACAAAATTGATCCTAAGAGATTTTTAGCATTTGTTTCGAGGTGAATTATGTCTCTATGTGTCTCTGGATTTATGCGGCAATTCCAACATGCTAGGACTTATGACAGAACAAAACAATTATGACTTGCTTTAGAGCTTAAAGGGAACTATGTGCAATATACTTCTTAGTGCGTAAATTTTATGAATGCTGGACTTGTAGTGACAAAATAGCGCCTATAAATGCATATATTATTCTTTGGTTTCTATGTGTAGTTCTCATGGGAGCCCAAGATTTGCATGCATAATAAGGTGCATGCCTCTAGTTCAGTGACCGAGTGTGAAGCAAAAGTGCTTGAGGTGACAGAAGATGTACTAGGGACACAAAGGCACCCTTCCACGTTTGAAAAATGGATCCAGAAAGCTACAGTGCGCTTCATGTTTTAGTCGTTATGGAAAACAAAGATGAAAAAAGTGTTTGCAAACGGGACTCCGCGACCTGAGATGATTGGTAGCTCAATTATTAGTCTGGTATTCCGAATTCTAGCAACTTATATTTTAACCAATAGCAGTGAGTTGGCATACCTCCATTTCTTTCTGCTGAGGTAAATTCCTATTCTATTGACCTGCGAACCTCCACAAGCAGGTCGGTTGAAACTTAAATTTGGCATAGCTTTAATTGGAAATGAATTCAGGGTAGTTGCTTTGCTTGAAGTTTACTAGTTATCTATATAATGGATTAAAGGTCCTGCATTTATTAGGAAGAAGTCAATGGTGCAGTAGACTGGCTAGTGTCATGGGTTTAACAGAGAGCGTTAGATATGAGGACTTGATTCTTCATGTTGTAAGCTCAAAGATGATATACATAACTTTGGAGCAAGTAATGTTGACGTGTGGTGTGCTTTATTGTATAATTGATACTGTAGACTTCAATTCTCAGCAAATTTGTCATTCTTGCTTGGGTTAATTTGTTGTTTCATTACCTTTTCATGCTAAATATACCCTATAATACCAATTTCCAGTTAAGTCTCTGACCATGCATTACCTTCTTCTTTTCTTAATGCAGT